ATTAACTATACTGGGATATTAAATATCTCTAATGGAATTTGAGCAGGTTGGGAAGGTAAAAATGCACGATAATAGTCATCTGGCTTTTGTGACAGTTATTCCTACTGATTCACTTCATATAAAGCAAGTGTCCCACTGTAATTCTTAAAATCTCAATGTTGAATAAATACAGCAGTAACTTAGTGTGAAGGAGCAATATAAAGCTGACTCAAAATTCAGCATTCCAACCGTAAGGTATGTCTGTTGTAGCCCAGAATCATTTTCTGAAATCTGGAACAATCTATTTTAAAAGCAATGTCAAAGAAAAAAGTTCAGAATATAGAAACCTAGCAGGATGATGTATAGGGACACATGTACAAGAAGCAGTGGTCTAGATAGTTTGTGGGCTGTCTGTAAAATATATTTTAATTAACCAACATCCTTATCTTATTTAAAATATGTTACCTTTTTTTTGCATTTTTATGCTGAAAAAATTTGGGGCAAATTGGTGTACAAAGGTCCATTGAATTTATTTTGTATATGTTTGTGGTGTGTGTGTGTGTGTGTGTGTGTGTGTGTGTGTGTGTGTGTGTGTGTGTGAATGAGAGAGTTCTTCATTGTTTTGGTTTGTTTCAGACCAGCTATCTCAACTCGGAATGGAGCTCATCAGTAGCTGGCGAGCTGCCAGTGACCTCCAGGTATTTGCCAATCTCTACCTCTCCAGGCTTGGGGTTTCAGATGTACATATCTCTTCACCCAGCTTTTTACATAGGTACTGGGGATCAGAACTCAGGTCTTCATGTTTGTGAGGCAAGTACTTTACTGACTGAGCCATATCCACCACCCTTGAGATTTCTCACTGATGGAAATAAGACTATGCATTTCTACAGGTAAGACATACCTCTGCAAGTGTCCTTCACTTGGGAAATATGCAAGGCATAATTTACATAAAAGGAGATGAAAGAGGCTTGAACCTATGACTTTTCAACATAAACATCTGGAAGCCCTTGATTTAGGGTCATTTATCTTGCAAAAATGTGCAGTCACAAGTGAGTGATTGGAAAGCACAAATGCAATCGTGGTCTACACAGTTGAGAGCTTCTCTTCTGAAGGGAGACCCACTCATGGAGGTGATCATCTACCATGGAGAAATAGCTCTTTTCTTATTACTGAAAAAAATCTCTAGAAAAGAAAAAGTGCAAAGTCATCAGAGCTAGTGTTCACAGTTACGGAAGATTGCTGCTATGTAATAGTCTGTAGATCTTTATCATCCAATGGTCAGTCCATCTGCTTGGACAGCCTTCTCAATGCGCAGTATTCCTGTTGGAGGATGTCTGCTGTGTGCCTCTGTTCATGCATGGAGCTGTACATAGTGATTTTTTTAAAAAAATATATAATGTCTATGTGCTAACTATTGAATATATACTGAAGTAAAAAATGAGTCCCCAGAAAAATATTTAAATGTAGTTTGTTTCAGCAATAATTTTGTCTCAAATCCTTCTTCCTTTCACCCAGTAATAAAGCAATTATCTCTACACCGAAATGTAAGTAAGTAGAAAATTATATTCTACCTTTATTTCCTGTGTCCTGATGATTCCAAAATATCACCTTTAATTCCTTTTAACTGCATGAGAAGAATATACTCTAGCAACATTGACCACTGTATAGTAGCCTGGAGAGAATCAATCTTGCACATGACATGAAACTTCCATGTATATGAAGAGAAGGTAGCAATGTTGGTACATCTCTTAGGTGCCTATTTGTGGTGGGTCTCTGAAGAGACTTTATTTTGCTGCTCAGAATTCAGATAAAACTCAGATACATTGTTTCTAAATTAATTTATCTTTTCCATCCTTTTCTCCTTTCCTTCCTTTCTTCTTCTATCTTTTCATTTCTTGATGTAGCATCTGTGTTTGTGTGTGTGTGTGTGTAATGTGTTCTGTAGCTTAATATATATTTTTCTGATAAAGTTTTAAATTGGCTAACGGGAAATATATTCAAGTAGGAAAGCATACCTATAATTCCAAATTAAAAGTAGACAGCTGGGGCCTGGAAACTATTCCCTCATTTGAATTTTCCTTTACATGTAACTGGTAAGTTGTGAGGATGGCTATCTGCTTAACACTGATAATGTATGCCAAAGATCTTGTATATGCCCAAATGTATTTTGCAATATGAATTGTATGTTTCTATAGTCTTATGCTGAATGTTGATATTCTTCACCATTTTCACTGTATCTTTATAATAAATTTTTAAATGTGTAGCATAAACAGAATTTTTAACTATTACAAATGATCTTGTCATATTGCAAACTTGCATAACCCATACATTCATGAGTATTTTTAAGTGAATGTTTGTTGTAATTATTAATGAGATATAATAAAATTAGACTATTTTACTTGGATATTTTCTACCCAAAATATGTGTTTATTTAAACTTTTCTATATATGCATATATACACATACATATATACTGTCAATATGTTCAATTGTCTTCATATAACTTACACAAACCATTTAACAAGTAATAACTGAAATGCTTCCTTCAAATACCATCTTAGTTTTGGAAACTAATGCACTCTAATATCTCATGCTTATATAGAGTACAATAGATAAATCTTAGCACCTGTTATCGAAGTACAATGTTAGCTCTAAAAATAAAGGACAAATCATTCACTGGGTGAAGGGGAATTTGCACTGTAAGGAACAGAAAATGTCATCTAGGGAATGGATCCAACTATGGAAATGTGAATCGTTCTCCTAGTCTGTACAATAGTATATGAAGTTCTGAGCTATGCATCAGATTGCAGTTATACTAGGAAAAACAGGACAGAATCAAATGAAATATTCTGTTCAATGAGAAATATTAGTTGTTTTACAAGTAGTATTGGGATAATACATATCAATAGTCTTACTATGCATTTATTGATATTAAAACTAGCATGTATTAATGGCACCATTTTGTGTATTTGGTAAGTATTGGCCACTTGGTTTGATTAATCTCACTAGATTTCATGTAAATACTATAGGTGAGGAAAATGAAAAGCCATAATTTGGGGTAACCCCTCTGAGGTCACACTAGCAGCAAATTATATAATTTTTAAATGTATGAAACATGAGATTCCTTCAAGCTTTCTTCAATGGATCTAACTGCAATCATTTTGTTGGTTCATGAAGTTTAATTTAAATATCAAAGCACTAGGGCTTTTCATTTTTATAATTTTACCAAATCCTTAAACTAGATTTCAAGGTTAAGCATGCTCAAGCTTAGTTCAGGGTGACTACTGTGATAATGATAGAATAAGATTTCCTGGACTTTATTAATGAATTAGACTTATGTAATGTTCAGAACTCAAGGCTCATAACTTTGGCCATAAAATGTAGTTCAGCCTATAGTAATTTACATTGATTTATTGTCCATAATAAAACCCCTAAATATTGGGTATTTGCTCTTAACAGTAGATGTCTGTGACAATGGAGTGTTATCACTATGTTTGGGAAAACAGAATCAAAGACAATTGGCTACTGCCACAGGTCATGTAGGCACCAGGGTAACATACATCCAGGAGTTCTTACCATGTGCCGAATTCTTTTTCATTTCCTATCAACTAACTTTGACTTTCCCATTAATTATGAAAAATTAAGCATGTGCCTAACAGCTATTGCTGAAGCAGCTGGTTTTTGTTTTCTATGTATAGATATTTCAATTTAAAGTGACTCAGAAGTATTGCATGCAAATGTGCATTGCCCATTAGTATAAACCTGACTGACAGAAACATCATAGCTCTAACACTGTGTTATGATGAAAAATTACAAATTACATTAAGCCATTTCTTTGTCTCATCTACTCTCTTCCTCTATGGATGCCTATAAATTGATGCTTGTATCATTTATTTCATGCATACATATAGTTCTTGAAGCTGGCAAGACACAAGTTATGGTTCTTCCTTGTGTTTAATGAACCTGAATGTGTTGGAAATAGTATCTTCTTTATATACAGAGGTATACTTTTTTTAGGATATCATACTTGGAGATCAAAGTTGATTTTTAAGTATCAATTGTGTTTACTATTCTCAGAAAGCCAGCATTTCCACAGAAAAAGAGTCCTTTTAGCTACCGTGGAGACAAGATAAGAAATTCTATGGCTAGAAGAGGAAAATATTAGAGTATATATAATATAATTTATAAATTCTTATGGAAATTTTCTAAATTAAAAGTTTGATTTGATTTTCTTTAACAATAATAAGTAACAAAACAATAAAGACCAGTTTTACATAGTTGAGTATTTATTCCCACAACCTTTGTTAGGGCCCATATACTTTAATTGCTAATAACTATGTCTAATTGTCTTCATATAACTTTATACCAAATATTTAGCAAATATTCATGGAAGTTGAATCTCAAACAGACAGCAATGTTACTTGCTAAACCTAGATATAAGTGTTTTCTGACATTTGGTAAAATGTCTAATGGTAGCTGCCACTGTGCCCACTTGATCCACTTTTAAATGGCCTTAAGAATAAACTTCCAGCAGTGGTGGCCCACACTTTTTTTTTCAAGACAGGGTTTCTCTGTGTAGTTTTGTTGCCTGTCCTGGATCTTGCTCTGTAGATCAGGCTGGCCTCAAATTCACAGAGATCCACCAGGCTCTGCCTCCCGAGTGCTGGGATTAAAGGCATGTATGTGCCACCACTGCCTGGCCTGGTGGCCCACACTTTTAATCCCAGCAACCTCTGTGAGTTCAAGGCCAGCCTGGTCTACTGGAGGAGATCGGAACAGCCAAGACAATATAGTGAAAGAGAAACCCTATCTTGAAAAACCAGAGGAGAAGAGGGGGAGGAGAAAGAAGAAGAAAACAAGAAGAGGAAGAAGAACAACAAGGAGGAGGAGGAAGAGAAAGAGGAGGAGGAGGAGTTGAGAGAAGAAGACGAAGAAGAAGAAAGAAGAAGAAGAAGAAGAAGAAGAAGAAGAAGAAGAAGAAGAAGAAGAAGAAGAAGAAGAAGAAGGCCAGTACAATTTATCTCCAAACATAAACACTGGGTCTACTTGGAGCCACACTGGTGCTCTAGTTTGCTGAACCATCCATAGATTATCTGAATTATCTGTGTGGAGTTCCTGAATGGATGGCAAGAAGTAGATGCAACAATCATGCTAAGCAAGCTCAACACAGTTCATTGCATGACCTAGTATATGAAATGTGCAATGATGGGTATACTGTCCTGTCAATCACTCCATTTCTCAACATGGCTTCATTGTTTCATATTAGCCTGCAGGACCATCACAGTAGCTGATTATAAAACAAGTTTAGGTAGGGAGTCATCAGTGACTAGTTTTTCTTTCATTAAATTTTGCTCACATCTTTCAAAAGATACAGATAAGCACAGGGATTAAGTAGATGAAATGATGTCTGCCTACCTCTTTTGCTTCTTATTGGCTGCTTCTTCCTCCAGACTCTATTCCTTTGGTCAGGCCTCAGTTCCTCAGTGTCACAAGGCTCCTCCCAGCTGCTGGCCAGCTTAGACTCCAAACTCCCCACCCCCAAATACATGGCAAATATCCAACATCACTCTAAGGCTTCCTTAGGATTTGAGCTTTCATAATGTTTCTTCAGATGAAAGAGTTTTGGTTGATCATCATTGTGTCATATTTCACATTGTTTAGTGAACAATAATAAATAATAGTTCTGTACCTGTTGAACGACAGTCCCTAGATTACTAGAATGTAAACTCCTGAACAATCCCTTATATCCCTGTGGTATTTGAATAAGAATGCCTCCATTCCCCTGTGGGCTCATAGATTTGAGTACTTTGTCACCAGCAAGTAGCACCAGCAAGTCAAGGGTTAGAAGGATCAGATGTGGCCTTTTTGGAGGAAATGTGTCACTAGAGATGGGTTTGGGGGTTTCAAAAATAATAGCAGTCCTAGGTGCTCTCTCTTTCTCTCTCTCTCTCTCTCCTCCCCCCCATCTTTCTCTGTCTCTGTCTCTCCGCTCCCTCCCCTCCTCTCTCTGCCTGTGAATCAGGATGCAGTTCTCAACTACTTCTCTAGCACCTTGCCCTGCCATGCATGCTGCCTTGATCCCTGTCATGGTAATAATGAACTAAGCCTCTGAAACTGTAGGAAAGCCCAAATCAAAAGATCTTATAGGAATTTCTTGGACATGGTGTCTCTTCATAGCAATAGGCCAGAAACTAAGACAATCCCTAGTAGTTATGTAAAAAAGGCTCGGAGGCATTTAATGTCCTGAATTTAATTTTTTTAGAGGCCACAAAGTTGGGAAGATGTTATGATAATATGTCAGGGAACCAAGGGAGAAAATTCAGTTGGAGTGGATATGATCCTAATACATTGCATACATGGATAAAATTTATAAATAATAAAAATTTAGAATTTTTAAACTTAAAAGAAATACATCTTACAAGAAGAATTTGCGAATTTTCCAGGTGTAAAGACTGTAAAGACATTCAAACCTAAATAGATTTCTTGAAAGCTATGTGCATTTGATGTAGTGATTTTTCACAAACATTTTGAGCAAAGCCCATTTGAGTTTTGATGCGTAGGCAATGACCAGTATCAGGGGCAAAGGGTTTTGATTTCTCCATATATATATAGAGAGAGAGTAACTGTAATTGGAAGGCAAATGATGGCCACTTTGATAGGACACTTAGAAACTGAGTTATACAAAAAGTAATACTTTCTTAGCTTACAATTAAATGTTCCGTATTTACTGGTGTAGAGTTTTTTTTTTCTTCATTCTGTAAGACACTGGAGTGCAGCTGCATAGACTTCCGATATTTGAATACAAATAAGGATATTTTTAATAATTTTATTACTTAAGACCTTATAGTCCTGCAAGTTAAAAATCAATATCCAAGAAAGAGATCAACAAGAGAATTTTCTGATCAACCAACAAATACTAGTGTTTCAAGTTAAGAAGCCTCGCTGACAAGGTGGAATTCTGAAGAAGCTGTATTCAAATTCTTCATCTGGCTGATCCTGGACAAATGTTGTCAGCAGACCATATACAACCAGGGAAAAAACTCTTTGAACCAAAGCTGCTATTTGAAAAGATGTATTCTCCATATAGGTGGTAGTTTACAGATTGTCAAAAAGTATTCACACAAGCTCATATTTATACATCATTTTTACTCTCCTTCTTAAAAGAGACAAACTGGGAAACAAAATTAGATATTCCACCCCCGCAAAAGTCAACAATCATTTCTTTAATCCATTCTGCAAAACTATGTTTCTATTGCCTCTCAACGTATACAAGGAATATATGCATGATCAAGGCTTCAAAACCTAAGCCATGTGCCCTTGTTTGCAGTTACCTTGGATCTTAACTAGATGTGCAAGTTGACTTCTGACCATGGGGAATCCTCTCCATGCATGGATTATGGATTGTTGAGGCCATGGCAGATAACCAGTTCCACAGAAGCAACTTCATGTTCCTCTGAGGAAGATCCATAGCACTGTGGAACAAGGGATATAAATGAGCAATGCCACAACAGACTGGAAAGGGGTTACCAAAACACAGCCCTCAAAAATGAACTCTGAAGGTGGAAAATCTACAGCTGTAGAAAAATCCTGTTCTAAGTGCCCTCAGTAACAAGAGCACTGGTAGATAGACAGTGGCCACCATTTATGCTGTTTAAGCACATGACAGCCAAAAATCTGTTGATTGCAAGCTCATTAAGCTACTGTGTAAATTTAAATGTTTTTCGATATTGCAAAAATTTTGGACTACAAAGCCTCACTTGTCTGAAGAGGGAGACAGCAAATGAAAATATTCAAACTGTAGTAATAAAATATTTGGCCTTTAATCATTTCCAATAAAATATATCTGAAATATTCCCCTCCCCCACCCATAGTCATACACAAACACACCAATGTTTAAATATTTTATAATGGCCAACGAAGGTGTTTACATTGATGTTTATTAATGGGACTCACTTTTGAATTTGTTATTTAATAAGTTGTTAATCCATATTAGCCTCAAATCAGTTCCATTTCGTTTCTCAGTTCCCTTCCTGATGGCTAATGGCTAATGTCCGGTACCATAAACAGATCTGCCTCTGGCACATTGGGAATTATTTGTTCTTGGCTTAAATAATCATAGTTTATAAAGTTCTCTCTGTCCTCTTCGTCCCCTACTAGGATTGACAAAGGCATTCCCAGAGGCAAGAATTTGTCTTCCTCTCTCTGCTCTCCCTCCTCCAGCCCCTCCTCTTCCAACATATCCACTTCTTGGTCCTCTTCTTCTTCTTCTTCCCCATTGTCAGCCTCTTCGACTTCCTCCTCATCCACATCTTCATCCTCTGTGGCTCTATCCTCCTCGTCCTCCTCCTCTTCCTCGCTCTCCTTTCCATCACAAACCTCGTCATCACACTCATCATCATCATCAACACCATCACCATCACCATCACCATCATCATCATCATCATCATCATTTTTCTCTTCCTCCTCTACCCGCTGTGGGGTGGGAGACTGAATTTGCTGCACTGGAGCAGGACTGAAGTTTAGAGAGGAATCCTGCATGAAGCCATACAGATCTTCCGGCAACTCCGAGTCTTCCTCGACGCCGTTGTGGGGCGCCTCCTTGGCAGTGGAGCCTCCCGAAGAGGCCTGGGCATGCTGTGCCCTCAAAGCCGCTTGCTGGCGCTCCAGCTTCTCTTGCTGCCTCATGTCTTCGTAGACCTGGTTCATGATGAACTGGGTGGTGTTCCGGGGCGCTCGCATCCCGGGCGCCCGCCACCCGTAAAGGTTGACCGGCCGCAGCAGCTTGCTCAGGTCTATCGGTGGGTTCCTCGGGAAGGAGCGACGAGGGTGGCGGCGCAGGCCACGGCCCCTGCGGCCCCAGCGCTTCTTTCTGCCCGGGGGTCTCTCCCAACAGGGGTTCCAGGGCCCGCTCCAGCAGGAGCAGCAGCAAAGGCAGAGCGGGTGCAGACCGTAGGCCCGGATCATCTGCGCTGGGCACAGAGGGCTCTGGAATGCCATCAGGGGTGGGCGCCAGGGCCCTCCGCAGCGCCCCCAGTTGGAGTACAGGGCCCAATAGGGCCGTCTGGGTGGTTGGAACCAAGGGCCAGGGCTGTTCTGTTGCTTGGGTTGTTTCCTGGAAGCCTCGTACTCAGCTTTGGGGCCGTCGCGGTACCGCCTCTTGGACATTTGAGAGCCCCTCTGCCGTCGATGGTAGGAGGACCAGGTGCGCAGTGGGATGGAGGATGCCCAGCCGCCGCCGCCCAGATTGAGGGGATCCTCCCTTTCGTTGACCGTCTGGGTCATGGTTCAGGGATCCGATGATGGGTCAATCAGAAGAGCCTCCTCAGTTGGGGGTCCCTGAGTGCCACGTGCTCCTGCCTGTGAGCTCGCCTTCCCTCTTCTCGAGGAGGATCACCCTCTTTCTTCTCCACTTACTAGCTCTTCCTTCAGAATCACTGTCTTTCGCACCTGGGTTGGCTCGCCCAGGTAGTTTGGGTAGGGTAAGGATGGTGGGGGAGGAAGGTGTTGGTGGGCGATGAACTGTGAGAGCCACTCCCCGGGTCCCCCACACACCCGCCTCAGCCGAGGCGTGGGCTGGGGATGGGAGAGGCAGGGGTCGCCTGTTACCTTGCTCCTCCCTCTCAACCCAGGTGCTTCACCGTCGCCGTCCTGGCCGGACTGAATGGGCCTGGGCAGGGGCAGCCTTTAAATACCCGCTGGTCCCCCCCACCCCCACCCCGCGTGCCCACCGCGTCCTTGGTTGCCCAGGACGACAGCCAATTGGGGTGGACTTGGAGCTTTCTGTGAGGAGGGTGGGTTCCTGCCGGAACTAGATGTTCCATGAACATTCGCAAGGGGTCTTGTGACGCAGGACTTGAGGCAGAGGTAAAGGTGGGCAATGCTCGCACCCTGACAACGCTTGGGGGAGGAAGGCATTTGAAATTTTTACTTTAAGTCTGATGGGGAATGTTGGACTGTGGGCCTTCAGCTTCAGCAGAGAGGAATGGGGGAAGCCTAGAGCTCTGTGGGTGGCTACAGTAAAGGAAATCGGGCCCCCGTTTCTTCCCCGACTTGTCTAAGTTCAGAAGTTGGATTCATGGTACATGAAACATAATCACAAACATTTACAGTGTGTGCATCCGAAGCATGTAATGACCCATGCCTACTTCAAGAGATGGTTAGCAAGTTTCATAGACTCGGGAACTGAAGTGGCTTTGCCCAAGGTCGTGGAGACTGAGGGACTTCACAGCTAGCCTGCAAACCCAAACCTGTTTGACCGTAGAGATGAGTTCATAACATCGCTGCACTACCAACTCGTCTTTGGTAGACCCCTTGTGATAAGTAATGGAATACATATGAGAAAGCAACCTTATTAATTCTCATGTTCCACAGATGGATCTGTTGATTAAGCGTTATCGTGGAGAATGACATGAACTTGATTTTGAGAACAGGACTGATTCATGACACAGTCAAGACATGGTGTTTGACTCAGAAAAACGACTATGAATCATATTTATCTTTCTTTGTGAGCTCTTGGGTAGCCTGGGGTTCCTTGCTCATACTATGAGCATGGTTCTCATATATAGAATGTATTCCCTAGGGTTGGAAGGAAGACTGAGAAAAAAATGCAGGTATCCCTAAATATCCAGTAACAAACCATGACTTTCATGTTGACTTCTCATACAGAATATGCAAAAACGCCTGGCTCTATGTCTGAGCAACAATAGGCATCTCCACCCCTCCCTTCCCCACCTCAAGCCTTGAGCCCGTTTTTTTTTTGTTTTGTTTTGTTTTGTTTTTTTTGTTTTGTAATAACATCAAGGAAGCTTCCCAGGCTTGACCACAGAGAAGAAAAGGTACAATATTACTATCCCGTTCCTGTGGTGAACAGAACTGTGGGAAAGAGAACACTGCCCACTGGGAACACCAAGTCAATGCCAGAGGAGCAACATGTGCAAAAGCCCTGAAGCCCGCTAAGGTCGAGTGTAAACTGAAAATTGAGACATGAATGGGCTTTCTGGAGTCAGGATTCCAGTTGCCTTGGGGGTGTAGATTCCACAAAGGTCATTCAGCTTCATTTGTTCAGTGGCTTGCTTAAGGCAGCCTACTTGACTCAAAATGCAGTGATGACTCTTTTAGTCTGCAAGGATCCTCTTCTAGGGGCATACTTATAAGCTCCAGGCAGATAGTGTTACTGTTAACTCAGAATGGCACAGTGCTAGCCAAGATCTGTTTCTTAAAGGACTCAGTATGGTATTAAATGTGAGATCAATATGTAAATATTGATATATTGAAATAAATAAGCAATGTATAATATACAAATATATAAAAATAGTGTATATTTTAAAATATATAATATATATATACATTACTATAGTAAAATCTCCATTTTCTTAGTTTAAAAAGATGTGTATCATTTCTCCAATAATTTGTACTCCTCAGTTTTTGATCAGTTGATATGACTTTTAGCCAATAGTATTAGCATACCTTTACTAGTTGTATTGTCTACTAAATGTTTACCCTGTTCTTAAGAAAGCAATATATTGTAATTCATGATTTTAGAAATTTTCTTTTTCTAAATATATTACTTTATTAATTTTACTTTAAACGTGTGCCTGTGTGAGTATATGATACATATGAGCAGGTGCCTACAGAAGTCAGAACAAAGTGTTGGCTCATCTGAAGCTAGAATTACAAGTTACGGTGAGTTAAATCACGTAGGTGCTAGGCTCAAACCTATGGTCCTCTGGAAGAAGAGCAAGTACTCTTAGCCACCAAACCACATCTCTCACCTCTGGGTTTGCAGATTTTTCTAAACTTGGGATTATAGTAGAAGCTTTTTTATATACTGGAAGAGGAATGCAGCCAAAGCTCAAGGTGACTTACTGGTACAATAAACACTATAGTCAGGAGTATAATGGGGATTTTAAAAAACAGACATTTGTCCTTCATTTATGTACACTGAATGCTGACCAATGAATTTGAACTTACAACAAGATATATTTATGAGGTCCATATATTGTTTTAGTTGTCTCTTTGTATAATCAAATTATGACAGGCAAGGTTGCCTAAAGCAGCTTGAGTTCATATGTCAGCTTCTAATAATTAGGATGCCAGGAATGGTACAGCCCTCCTCTTCACTATGGATTGACACAAGCCGAAAGGAAAGGACTAAGTTAGATTGCCCCCTGAGAAACCAATTTGGGAAAATCCAACCACAAAATCATTTATGTTATTGGCAGAATTCACTCTTTTGTGGCTGTGGCTGAGGACACTGCCATCTTTCTGTCTGTTACCTAGAAGTTACCGTCATAACTCAAAGGCCATCTGCAAGACCTTGGAACCAAAGTTAGTCACTTGTAATGGACTCACTGTACATAGTTCCTCACTTTATTAAGCCAGTAAAGAAATCACTTTAGTTTTTCCTAGCAAAATATGCCTTGTATGCTGCATGTGTGTGTGTGTGTGTGTGTGTGTGTGTGTGTGTGTGTGTGTGTGTGTGTGTCAGTCTATTTGTCTGTCTGTCTGGCATAATAAAGGCCATGGCATTTTTAGAAACAGAGTCACTGGTGTTTATCTTATATTTTGTTTACTAAGTATATTAAGTAAATCCAATAAAATATATTTTATTTCTTCACTAGTATTCACGTTATTTGGACAGTTTTTTGCTGCTATGCAGTGACATAGGCTGGCGTACTTTATGCTACATTTTCAATTGAAAACATACATCTCTGTGCTTGAATCCTAACACTTGGTGGCAGTAGTAGTTCATCCAAACTCAGTCAGCATTAGTCTTTATTCAGAATAAACAGACTCACAAAGGCCTCATTTTAAAAAGTTGTACCTTTTGAATGACAATAGAATGATGATTTCTCTTTCCCCCTTTCTCCTTCTAGTTCCTTCCATGTACCCACCTTTCAACCCCTGTGTGACACCCCACTCTCAAATCGATGAGCCTTTCCTTTGATTCTGATCATTACACACACACACACACACACACACACACACACACACACACACACACACACACATATATATGTAAGCACATATATAAATACAATTTACTGAATCCACTTTGGGTTTTAGTGTATGTAGTTTCAGGGCTGAAACCATGCATTGTATTGGGTAATCAGTAAGGGGGCTCATCCCCGGGACAGGCTGATTCTCCGTCTCCCAGCAGTCATTGGTTGACTGTAGCTCTCTAAGGGTGGGATCCCCCATATAATCCCTCCCTTTCACGTTAGCATATCCACTGATACTGACATTGTTCTGGGCTTCTTTACATAGCCATTTCACAGCAGACTCCCTGGTAAACTGGTTCATACGATCTCTTTAAACCCTCTTCTATGATGTTCCCAGAGTCCTAAATGCAGGAGTTATGATATAGATGTAGCCACTGAGACCGAGCTCTCCAGTGTCTGTTCATCTTTGCATAGCGTGCAGTTGTGGTGTTCTCTGATGATCTCTATTTGCTGGAAAGAAGTTTCTTTGATGAAGAGTGGTAGCTACACTTATCTGTGGGTATAAGGGTAAGAGTTGGAATGTAGTAAGGAGTTATGCTGGACCAGCAGAGTGGTGGCAGTAGTTTCTTTTCTAGAGTCCCTGTATTAATTAAGATTACCATTGCTATGATGAAACACCATGACCAAAGGAAGTTGTGGATAAAAAGGTTAATTTGGCTTAAACTTCCATACCTTAGTCCATCAGTGAAGGAAGTTAGGACAGGATCTCAAACAGGACAGGAACTTGGAGGCAGGAGCTGATGCAGAGGCCATGGAGGAGTGCTGCTTACAGACTTGCTCTCATGGTTTGCTCAGTTTGGGCTTTCAAAAAGAGCCCAGGACTACCAGCCTAAGGATGGCATCACCCACAATGGCCTGGGCCCTCCTGTATCAATCACTAGTGAAGAAAATGCCTTACAGGTTGTTTACAGCCCAGTCTTATGGAGGTATTTTCTTCATTAAGGTTCCCTTCTCTCAGGTGACTCTAGCTTGTGTCAAGTTGACATAGAATTAGCAAGGACAACTGACCCCTTTGTCAACCTGACACAGCAACACATTCCTGTTAAGCCACAACCTTTCCTTTCTTGTTCATTTTCAAGATCACATATTAATATCAACATTAAATTATAAACATTCCAAATTTTAAACGTCCCGTGGTCTTTAAAAGTTCAAATACTTAAAAGTTCATTCTCTTTAAAATATCCTGTCTCTCTTAAAATCCAAAGTCTTTTCAAACCCATTATCGCCTTAAAAATAAAAAAATAAAAAAAAATTTTGGTTGTGAGCCTAGCCTTTAACGGCTGAGCTATTGGGGGGAAGGTGAGGGGGACAGGAGGGGGGAGAACAAGGGAATCCGTGGCTGATATGTAGAACTGAATTGTATTGCAAAATAAATTAAAAAAAAATAAAAAAAAATTATTGGAATATTTTGTTACTTCAAGAGGGAAGAAACAGGTACAGTCACAATCTGAACACAGCCAAACCAACCTCCTTTTTTTTTTTTTTTTTTTTTTTTTTTTTTTTTTTTTTTTGGTTTTTCGAGACAGGGTTTCTCTGTGTAGCTTTGCGCCTTTCCTGGGACTCACTTGGTAGCCCAGGCTGGCCTTGAACTCACAGAGATCCGCCTGGCTCTGCCTTCCGAGTGCTGGGATTAAAGGCGTGCGCCACCACCGCCCGGCCCCAACCTCCTCCTTAAGGCTCAGGACTGACTGAAGAAGAGAGGGCAGGAAGAATGTGAGAGCCTGAAGGAGTGAATGGCTACAAGGAAACATTATCTTCTACACAGAGCAGGGTAGTTCCACATATGAACTCACAGTGTTTTCAACAGCTTCTTCAAAACCGGGGCAAACCCATGTCAGACCAAATCCCAGGATGAGGAGAGGAGTCACGCAACCAATACACCCCCAGCCATAGCGCTGTTGGCAGTTACCAGCTGTGGGGAGAAAGACAGGCAGACTGCAATCTTGAAGAGTGTAACCCTTGATAAGCTGACCACTGTCTAGTGGCAGACCACACATCCAAGAATATTTGAGCAGCAAATATTGGTCTTGGAGGATTAAAAAAATGACAAAAAACCCCACAAAGATGTGTGAATAAGAAGGTTTAGTGGTGAATTGGGGATGATTTTCAGGGAAGGAGGGAGGGTGGGTAAAAAACGGTCAAAAATAGGTATTAATCTCTCAAAGATCTAATAAAAATATACTTTAATTGTTTGGATACAGGTGATTATGAATGGAGATGGAAAAATGGAGATGAGGTGGCTTTAACTGGGAAGGGGAGGGAGAACAAAACAGAAAGAGAAGGAGGGAAGAGGGGTACATAACACTAAGGATGTCTGAAAAAGACACAATCTAATTTTTATATAACCTAAAATTACACACACACACACACACACACACACACACACACACACACACACACGAGGTTAAGTCACTTGGGGTGATAGTGCTTCTCCCAAGAGAAATAGACTAACAAAAACCCAGTACCAAGCATAAGAAATCTCTGTTCCAGATATTGGTCAGGGGAGAGCAAGAGACTCCCAAAACATTATAGGCTATTGCCTTTACCTTTGGCTACTTCCCAGACATTCAGTGTAGGTCTTGCTTGCTGAAGACATCACATAATTCAGACACAGGATTCAGAGGATTCATGCTAGATCTGATTCACCAACCTCCTCCCTGAGGACTAAGTTCACAGTACTGGCAGGTGCTATATAAGCTTCAAAGACAGGAACACAATCAGTAGTCCTACCCAACTGTGGCTCTCGTGAACCACAACAAAGATTAACATGGAATTACATCCCTAGAAATGCAATAGTGGCATTTATAACTTGGCAGTAGCCAACATTGATCTAATTGAACATAAGACCCATTTAACAGAAGGGAAATAATGTCTGATTCTGGAAAATAATCCACTAACATGGCCAGTAAGGGCATAGGTCTTAAAGAAGATCCTTCTATCCACTTTCTAAGTATAATTCCTAACTGCATTTTAAATTCTTCTTTTTATACCTACAGCTAAGTGTAGCTCGAACTCAACATCAAAGGAGTTTATTTTTTCAGCAAATAGAGACCTTTACAGAAAGACACAGCTGGTCAAAATGCAATGAACAATTGACTCTAGGATGCCCAGCAAAAAAGTGATACATGTACAATACAACCCTTACACTGGAGGTCAAGGAACATTGACGAAGATGTGGTGGAAAGATTGTAAGAGAGCCATAGGCCTAGGAAGTATGCCACAAGATTGAGTCTCCCACATATGACAGGGAAGCTTGACACAAGAAATCTTTACAGTATGGCTGCTTAAACAAGAATGGAATAATTCTAACACCAGTTGAACTCCCAACATAGATGCAGGAAATCTCATGGGGCCCCAACCTTAGATAAAGAGCTGTAGACAATTAACAACTACTGAGAGAGGGAGAATCAGTCTTTCCCCAACAATAATCCCCCTGACTGGGTTATCTAATGCCAAGTGGTCGGCCTTAAAAGCATATAAATACATGTAACACTATGTGGAGTCAGCAAGTTGTATTTATTTATTTACTCATAGATATATAATTAATGGAAAAGAAGTGAGCATTTTGTGAAGGAGTGCGAGGGCTTGGGGAAATTTCTTATTCATTTATTTTGGGAATTTGCAAAGATATACGGCTACTTTACAAATTTGTGAGGTATGAGTTTTCCTATCTATGAACCATTAAGTCATTCTAAATTATACAGAGAAACTTAATTTTATGGTAAGTACAAAGAGTGTTGCTATTCCTTTCCAGATAATGCATGTATAATATATATTGTCATGCATATAGTATCATTCCCTATCACCTTTTGAAAATGCTATTAATCCTGCAATAACAATAACTTAGTTTTGAAAACTAAAAAAGCAGAGAGCGTTAACACTGGGAAATGTGTGCTCAGTACAGGAACTCAAGGAAGGAAACTGGAGTCAGCAATCATGGAGGAAGGTTTCTTACTCCTTGACCCACTGGGTCAGCTGCTTTTGTTATACAAGCCTATTTGCTTAGGCATGAATGGTGCTGCCTAAAATAGATTGGATTCTCCCACATCAGTTATACATCTCAAGAAAGCCTCTCCATTCAGAAAGGGGCAGACCTCCCATGGGCTTGAACAAAGCATAGCACATCAAATTGAGGCAGGATCAAGCTCCTTCCCCTGCATCAAGTCAGGGCAAAGCAACCCTGCATGGGGACTGGGTTCCCAAAAGCCAGCTCAAGTGCCGGGGACAGGTCCTTATCCCACTGCTATGAGCCTTACAAACAGACCGAGCCACACAACTGTCACACATATAGAGAGCCTAGGTCGGTCCCAGGCAGGTTCCCACATTAGAAAAACTGCTCTAAAATTTGAGAAATAGTTTTAATGTCTATAGGTATTGGATATATAAATGATAAGGAATATGAAGAAATTAAGTGATTTCAATGTTTTTGAGGAGTCCAAAGGAGACCCTGCTATTATTTTGTTAAATGCACATAATATCAAGTTGCCTTCTAAATAAATATATTTTATACCTATAGATTGGTGCAGCTCTCAGCCTTCATCAGAGACTTTTTTTTTCCCCAGCAGATGGAGATTAATATAGAGACATGCAACTGGTCAAATGAGAATAAGTGTTAGTAGTGCTCAACCCGAGGCACAGCATCCATACCAAACCTCCACCCTGCTCAAGGCTGAACCAAATTTATTTAGCATCTTTTGTGGAAATTTAATACCATTTATTAAGAACTTGAATAGCATTTGACCCAGAATCTTACTTCTATGACTTTGTCCATAGAGGTGCTCTCAAGCATATGGTTATGTGTGCTCAACATGGGCATTATTTACAGTTTTGGTGTAAATGCAAAATTTTAATATTCATGGAATGAAATGACAGCTTCTCAGAATGCCAGGGCCTGTACTCATATGGAAATGGCCCCAGGGACTATTTTGAAATTATATAAGCAAGGTTCTGAATACTTAGTATCTTTTGCACTTAAAAATGAATGTTCATGTGTACAGACATGTAACAGTACTGCGTGTGTGTGTGTATATGTATATATATACATATACTGTGCATATATATACATATATATATATATATATATATCACATTTGAAGACATATATTTCTATAAAAGGAGGAATTTTTTTCTGGGAGAAATTTTTATAGAGTTATATAAGATTAGTGACTGGAGCTTGGGGTCTTGTTCCTGAAGGCAAATCTTTTCCATTATTTCGGTTTTTAACCATATACTTACATTATGATTAATTTTCAAAGATTTTAAAAATAATCCACTCTCCTTATAAGGTTATTTTCTGCTCTTCCTTGGTGTTGTTACCACAGCAGCTTCAATATGTTGCATGTCCCATATATTATTTTCAAAGCTAGAGAAATACAGGCAATCAAGGGTGTAGAATGATGGGTCTTAAAGATGACAGATGTCATTAGGAAGCTGCACACCATGATTATAAGAAATGCTTTCTCACAAGACCATATATTTTTCAAACACATTTAATTTCCTTTGCTTTCTTACATGAAATAGGTGGGGACCACACACCAGTGAAAATAAAGACTAGAAAAATTCGATTAAAATGTGTACATCTTATCAACATATCTAAAGTATTCATTTCAAATGTTTTCTTTCTTACATATTTAATTTTATATAAACCCCTACAATTTTCAAATTGTACGTAGTTTGTAAGAGTAGCTGAAATTTGTTGTCATTTCATTTACTCTCAACATATTTTATAAGCTTATACCTAACTCATGTTTAGTTAAATTATTAAATCCTTATTTTATCTTAACACCCTTAGCTTATTGATTTATATAATCATGCCACATTCTTCAATGCATCTGAAATGCACTGAGTTTGTTTCTGAAGAGAGCTATGAGTCACTTGGCTACAAAAAGCATCATAATCATGACATTTGCCTAGCATTCTAACATTAGACAAAATTTCCAATGGGCAAACGAGGTAGACACATGTACGCTTGAGGAGTTTTGCTGAGGTTGATAGGGTTTCCATCCAGTCGAATATCCTCTAACGCCTTACGGACATAGGTTAAATTTTTAACATTACAGAACGTATCCTCATGCATTTCCAGAATGTTGTTATTCTAAAAAAGACAAAAAAGTGAAAAGACAAGACTTAACACACCTAAGGTTTTGAATAAAACTGCAGTCTATTTTGAGTCACCTCTTCTAATTCTTGTATGTATTCTGTCAGTCAAGACTATTCAGTATTTGATTATTATACACCAAGAATTGTTTGTGCCATAGGGATAAATTAATTAACAAGATAGATAGGATTTTACCAGTATGGAGCACATGGAGAATACAAGTAGGTGAGGAAGATTATTGGAGGAAAGAACTGATTCTAAAAATGATGAAAACTTTGAAGACATGGGCCTGGAGAGAGCCAAGGGAAGAATATCCAGGGAAGAGAAAAAACAAACACAAAGTCCCAGTCATCTGCATGGAGCTGCCTCTGCACAATGAACATTCAACTCAAGATGGCTGAAGGGAGGAAGTGAGAGACTAAGGAAGCAGATATTGGGGAAATGCACTTTTCCTTTTTGTCCCCAAGTAGATGTTGGGGAAATACACTTTTCCTCTTTGCCCCCAAGTCCTGGACAGCTACTGACATACTTTCTGTTTTCATGGATTTCTCTGTTCTGAGCATTTTACATATGTAGAATTATGAAGTGTTATCTTCTGAAAGAAATGCATATTTCCAAAAATATTGAATATTGGGAGAAAGAGGAGGTGGCCATTTCAAATTAGCTTAAGAGGCAGTGAACGTAAGTTCACTTAGCGTCATATCTTAAAATTTCATGTAGGTTATAGTATATGGTGGTGTTTCTTATGTTCTACTACCTGAGAGCATTGCATTAAATGTATTTATTCTCATTTATCCACTTATCTGTTAATGAAAAAGTGAATTCTTACCCAATACAACCATACCTTCTGGCTTTCATGAAAACAGTTTTCATGAATATTTGTATGCAAGTTTTATATGGAGATGTATGTTTCCTTTCTCTTTAGCACTTAAACAGATACCAAATCTTCGAGTTGTAACTATATTTTTTTTGTATTTGGAGGAAATCTTGACATATTTTCCAAGTAGCTACAATGTTTTACACTTGAATGGCAGAATACACATTTCCTTAAAACCTGACAAATAGTTGTAGGTATGAGTATTAGCTCATTGTAGACTTGTTTATTGCCAGTGTGCACAGATACAGTTGATCTTATAATATCATGGAATATTATATTATGGATTATGAGTCTTATAATAACATGGAATAATACAGCAATGTGTTGATCTTATAGTCTGTTACACTGTTGAGCCCCTATGCTATGCAAAGGGCTTAGTAAGTTCACTATAAATTGCTACATGCAAAACTTGTAAATCAATCTGAGAAGTGTGTGCATCTTAATAAACCAGTTTTCTGTTCTGTGGTATTAGGGTATTAGGACTTTATCTAGACCTTCTTACCTGTTCATTTGTGTTGTGGTTGTGATTGCACAATGTTTATCATTGTTTTGTTAAATGTATTCTATGTATTTAAGATGTGTGACATTTTTAAAGAGAATAATTTTGTTTGTGGTGATAGTGTGAACTTAAAATTTGTACACTGAGGAGACAAAAGCAAGAGGTTCTCTGGCAAGTTCAAGGTCAGTCTGTAGTTTTATTCTGTTGCTATAGCATATTTGTATCATTTACCTGATAATGGTTAAACTATTCTTTTATTCTTGAAATAAATGCTACCTGCTAATGTATGTCATTACTTTTACATGTTAGATTATGTTCATAACATGCATTGATTTGCAGTTTTCTCTTCTGTTGATAGCTTTGCCTAAGTCTAATTTTTTTATTAGGATAAAATTAATGTTTGAATGATGAGTCAGGATGTATTCCTCTTTTCTATTATTTGGGGTAGTTTATAAAAGATTATGATGTATTAAGGAAATGAGTATGAGCAGAAAATTTCAGGAAACCATTATCCAGATCTCAGATATTTACAGAAGTCCAACAAAAGTATGGAAATGTAAACATTAGTAGGAATAAGAAAAATGCAGAAGTAAATGTTAACACAACGTACAGAGAAAACCATTGGAACCAAAGACTACCTCTTGCAAAGTAAAGTCCCTTTTTATAACAGGTTGTATTTCAGAAAATAATGGATATTTTTTTCCTATTTGTTTATCCCACAAAAAATTAGAAAATACTAGAGAAAGCTGAATATAGCTATATAGCAAATTACTTGCATGAGCGTATGAAGCAAATTACCTCCCATTGTTTCAACAACTAAAAATGTTTCACTGAGCACATTGTGTTCATATGGATGACAGTGAAATATATTTAGAAACTATTAGATCACAGCATTTTTGAAAATGTGTTTTCACTTATTCCTCTAAAAATAAAATGTTGCTTAACGGGATCCAAAACATTGCAAACTTTCAAATGTGTGTGTTGGTTTTAAAAAAGAGAAGATAAAGAAAACAAGCTGCAGTTTCTTTAACTGAAGAATTGGAGAATTGTCATTTTTTCAGGACATGTGGATGCCTTTGGACTGTACTTAATTCAATATAAAATTTGATATATACAAGAAAATAAAATTGACAGGTTTTTCTGAAAACTAGATATCAAGCTAGATTTTAGTCTTTCCTTTGTGATCCTTATGCATTTTTTCCTTCCAGGTGAAGCTTTTGTTTCAAAGAAAAATCTCTGTTATCTAAGTTTTATTTCTAAAATAATAAAGATAATGACTGAGGTTACCAGCCATTTAGCAGAATAGAGAGCACCATAAAGGTGCAAACACTTTATTAGCTGATGGAATGAATGTGTGGAGAGACAGGAGCAGAAAAAAGCAATGCACACACGTCAATGTGTCATGGTGGATAAGTGTGTGTGTTAGTCCTGGCTCCTTCTATTTGTGTTTATTCTCACTGGAGTTTCCGGGCTTATCTTATCATGAGAAACCTACCTGAAGGTGAAGAGCCTGTAGAGTTTCTGGAAGTGGCAGAGGAATGTGGTCCAAGCTGTTATCCGTGATATAGAGATGGTGGAGATCATACATGTCCTGTAAACACCCATATGGAAGGCTTACTAAGTTTCTTCTTCATGCAGTGATTTGTAAATTAGCATGTCCCTGTGGGGACCCCATTCTCTAAGTCACTAAACAATACAATTCAATTTTGGAAAATTTGACTACAAACGTACTTCTTTATGAAAATGAAAATGATTTTCAGTCTCTTAGAAAACATGTATGCTCAATATACTTTCTCAGTTTACACAAGGCAGCTCTTTTCCATGGAATACTTTTTGAAATTAGATCCTTAAGATTTTTTTCATACATAGCAAGAGCTTCCTTTATTTTATAGGTTTGGAGAAATAAAAATTTCTTTTTAGCCAAAGACTGGTTGCTTAGTAAGGAAAATAAGAAAAATGGTAGCAAAGCAAGACAGAAAACATTTAGCCAATAACTGGTCTATGCTAAGCAAACAGCACAGTAAAAGAAGGACTCATCCCCACCCATGCCCTCTATTTTCAACCCTTGCCAGTCTACCGTGTGATTCCCTAACCTCTTTAGCTACCATTGGCAGGATAATTAACAGAGAAACTTAAGAACAAGTTCACACCAACCCACACCATCTCCCAGAGTATAATACGTTTGCCTTCAAAAACCAAGTAAAAACTCATCATTCAACCTGTATCTAGAGGAGAATTTTGAATGGGATGGGGAGTGTGTAAGAAAGCCAGTTGATATTGTTCTTGGATTGCAGCATTGTTCTAAGCAGGACCTCCAGATTCAAACTTCTTTTCTTCACTTACAAAATAAGTTCCCAAAAGATAACTCAATCTAGACTCTTTTTTTGGTTTTTCAAGGCAGGGTTTCTCTGTGTAGCTTTGGAGCCTGTCCTGGAACTCACTCTGTAGTCCAGGCTGGCCTCGAACTCACAAAAATCTGCCTGCCTCTGCCTCGAGAGTGCTGGGATTAAAGTCGTGCGCCACCACCACCCGGCACAATCTAGACTCTTTATGGCCTTATGACTTTAGAGCACTCCTTCTCTCTGCCCATCACCTAACAACATTTTGTCTGCCTCTAGGTGGAGTTCTAAAGAAAGCTCAATTTTCTGGCGTGAGCCTCCTCCAGGAGCCTTTAAAAGCAGGCATGTGTCCAATTACCACTCACTTCTAATTTGAGCCCCAATTTTCAGTCTTGGTGCTTGACCACTCTTAGAATAAAACAGAATCTATCCTATTTTCAAAGTTTCCATAAGTAATGCAGGGAAGTTTATTTTAGAAGTTACTGGTACTATTCCATGAAATCCTTTTGGAGGCATGAAATGGCTAGTCCATGACAGATGAGGAAGGGGAGGATGAGGGCTACCATGTGACACCTAAAACTTACTTTAAATGCTTCTTGCTTAATCCCTTTCCTTCCGAGTCTATTGTTGCTGATATCAATAAATGTCAGCGTGGTTGGCAATTCTGGAAGCTGCTTTATTTTATTGTCACGTAGGACAAGCTCCTGGAGACGAGGCAGCTTTCGGAACGCATCTTCGTCAATCTCCGATATTAAATTTGATGTCAGATCAATCCTTTTTAAATCACCTAGAAGAAAAAAAGTGATGTCAGTAGCTAAACATTCTTCAGTGTGGTTTACTCAAATAAAACACGAACCACAAATCACAAATTTGCAGTAGATCTGTAATAAAATGTCCATACTTAGGCTTGCAAAGTCATTTTTGTTGATCTTTTTAATTCTGTTAAAGCGCGAATAGAAATATGTAGTCTTCTTAGGGAGTGGAGGAATAGCATCAAGTTCATGGTCATCACAGTATACAGTGGTACTTATACAAGTGCACAGAAGGCAGGTTGGAAAGTCTGAAATGTATAGGTAAATAATTATATGTCAGTAGAAGAATTCTAAGGACAATGTAGTTCTGATTATTTAGTAGTAATGATTCAAATATCACTCAGAACTTCCTGATGTATTTCACATTTTCTCAAAGCATTTTTGGCAAATGACACATTAAGGTCAAATCCATAAGTTAAAGCATCTACAACATTGCTTGTAAATCCTATTTTAATGGATATATTATGGCTATTACTTTTATACCTAGAAGGAATTTTGTTTTCAAAACATAAACATTGGGTTTATTTTTTTTATAAAGTTAAATCACCATGTACTCATTACATGTATGACTCAATATCTAAACATTTCATTAAAATGTGTTTCAAGAGAAGATCACACAAACTGATATTTATTCATTCAATACATATGCATTTCATATACATGATATGATGGTGACTACTGAAACACTGGTGAAAAAAAGACATACAGCCCTGCTTTTTGACATATTATGTAAGATGAACGCTAACCACAGAAATCGGTATCTCAAAGTCTGATATGAACATAAATACAGAGTCATTTGGCTTAGTGGAAGAATCATGAACAGGAATCTCTGAGGCAGCAAATGTCAACCTGCAATATACATAAAAAGGAGTTGAAACGTAGGTGAGAAAAACAAAGAAGAATATGACAGGAAAAGAAAGGCACATTCGCCAAAGACCTTTCTCTAAGACTCAACAACAGTCCTTGGGGCTAAACTCGGAGGAGGCCAACCATACTCCAGGTGAGAGCCCTTTTGTTTTGTGCTACAGGAGGTCTTCTCTCTCTTATAGATAGACAGAGTAACTGTTAACAGCTCACTCTGCCTGGGAGGGTGGTCAGACTGAAAGAGGGCCAAGGTGGATGAGAGGATGCGAACTGCAGATTAGAGATGTGGTGTACATGATACATTGTGGTTGCTTGGCTATGGTAATGATGACAGCAAAGACAGAGGGGATTGAGAGTAGGGGAGGGAGGGAAAGAGAGTCTTTATTTCACGACCTGCTTACTATTTACCTGGAGAATGATAAGCTTCAAAGGAGACAAAAATGATCAGAAAGAAAGTATGAAAATGGGGCATATGGCCATATTGATGGACGCCAAATGGAGGAAGAGTTTGAAAGGAAAGGATATTTAATTAGCTTAGTTTGTTAGTAAAGAAGCCACGAAAATGTTCTTGAACTTGGTATTGCAGGGATATTCAGCCTTTGTAGAGTCTGTATAATGATGGCAAAGGAGGCCAAATTATAAACCATTACAGGTAAAACTGGAGGGAAGAAAAACAAGACAATGTTCTAAAGGTGTTCACTGAAAAGAATGATGGACAAAATGGTAATGCTTAAGATGTATTTGTGCTTTGGTAAAGCAATGTGTTCTAGCTTCATTTCTGATACTGTGATAAAATAAATTGACTCCCCCCTGCAAATGAATTAATGTACCACAGGTTTATGTCAGTTTACAGTTCTAGGTTACACTCCATCACTACAGGGAAGTTACAGCAGCAGGTGCTTGGAGCAGCTTGTCACATCACATCCACAGCCAAGAGCAGAAAGAAATAAAAACATGCATGCTTGGTACTCAAGTAGCCTTTTCTACTCCTGTAACACAAGTCAGGGTCCTGAACTGGGCAATGGTGTCAGCCACTTTAATGCTGGATCTTCTATCTTCATTTAGGGTAATCAAGACAGTTTCCAGAGATACATCCAAGGACCAGTCTGATATAGACAATCCCAAGTTGAGACTCCCTTGGCAGGTGATTCCAATTTGTTTCAAGTTGACAATTAAAATCAACCATCGCAGTGGGTAATCACAGTGAGAGGAATGGCAAGTATGAACTCCATAGCGGAAGTAGTCGGAATTGGACGTTGTTGCACAGAAAAAAAAAAAAAAAAAAGGATCAATACCCCACAAGAGGGAAGACATACAGTCTCTCAGTTCTGCTAGGAATAAATGGATGGAGGGGTGATTGTTAATATAGGCGGAGGGTGGATCTGCTACTGCTGAAGAGTGCATTTTCTCTGTGAGGTAAGACATTGTCTGATGAGCTGAGGGGTAAAAGACAGACATGGATGAGAGCAGTGAGGGATGAGGTGAATGGAGGAGAGGAAGTAGCTTTGGGACAGGTGAAAGACTATGAGGTGAAAGAAGCAATTTATATTCTAGACTAGGAGAGGGAAAGGGAGAAAATTTAAAAACTATAACTAAGCATTGTTCAGGCACCAATTAGTTTCCGTTTGCCTGGAACTTTCCTAGAATACTCATACTCAGACTAAGAGGAATGTTTGTTCACTTTAGTTAAGGGGGTCTTTTTTGTCATTTCTGATCAAGAACTGATAATGTATCCATTAATATCTTATTGTTTTCTTTAAATAGGTATATTACACACAGTAAGAACTTCAGAATAAAAACCATTTAGCCAAGAAAAGTAAAGAGAATTCTTTAAAGAGGATCTGCAAACTATTTAATCTTTGTGATGTCCTCTAGTCATTAAAATTTCATTATTTCCGCTAATAAGTCTTAAATTAGGGTGTTTGATTTTTACAGTGTTGTCTTATATTTTAGCATTAATTGCACAGAATAATTTATACATATTCACATGGATTGTGATTTTTTTCACTGTTCAGTGATTGTGACCATTTGGATTGGATTAATTTGATTAAAAAAAAGTTTTGAATTTTAAAATTTTCCAAGCTGTTAAATATTTATACATGTATGCTTCTTTTCTGGAAATTAAAATGTAACTTAAGTTTTAACTTCATTATATATCCTCAGTTTACTCAGTTATAAAAGTAAGAAAAATATCAACTTGTTGATACTCTCTCAAAAATTACTGAAACCAAATTTGACTATAGCTTTTAAAAGGATTGTGCCCAAGCTATGCTAACAGGGCTAGGCTTGGGAATATGGGGATGGCATGGGTAAGAGAGGGCCTGGGCCTGTGTACAAGTCTGGTATTGTAAACCTAGCCAACTATTCACGACGTGGGAGGTCATAGACTCTAGAGGAAAGCATCCTAAAACTATTTTCCTAAACCAATATAATTTCTAACTTTCTAAATACATTCTAAATACTTATGCTTATGTCCACAGAGAAGAGCGGAGTTAGGTGGCTTGATCTGCCTAAGAGACCCCCCTGGCAGTAGAATCATGATACATTGCTGGTGCGTGAGCTGGCTTTTTGGAGCCCACTACCTATGGTGGGACACCTTGCACAGCCTTGAGGCAAGAAGAGGGGCTTGGACCTGCCTCAATGAATGTACCAGACTCTGCTGACTTCCTATGGGAGGCCTTACCTTCTTTTAGGAGGGAATGGGTGGTGGGTTGTGGGGGGAAGGCTGAAGGGGTGGGAGGAGGGAAGAGAGAGATCTGTAACTGGTATGCAAAATGAATAAAAAATTCTTAATAAAAAAGATCAATTTTCGGTCATCAAAGATTCTCTTTACAACAGATGGAGACACTTACGGAGATCCATAACTGGTCAACATTCATAGACTGTGAGGTCCCCAGCTACAACTGATGCATCTACAATGCAACTCCTACAGCTAAGTCTTAGGGGAAATTATGCAAGAGGGTGTAGAAAGATTGTAAGACCCAGATGATCAGGATGCCTGCTTTTAGAGAGGGTCTTTTAGAGCAGGCAGGGAAGACATAGCTATGAAATATCAAAAACATGGCTGTCCACACAAAGTCCTGCATAATAACAATACTAGTACACTTGCCAACATGGATGTGGGAAATTTCACAAGATCTCGCCCCTGGAATAAGAACTAAATGTAGTCTGTGGCTACAGAGAGAGGGGAAAACAATTTTATTCGGGGACAAGCTCCCAGGAAGGTTATCCAGTCGTATGTGGTCAGCCCCAACACACTTGGGTATAGGAGCAACACTAAATGGACTCAGGATGCTATATATAAAGAAACTCGTATAGTGATGTGTGTGTGTGTGTGTGTGTGTATATGTGTGTGTGTGTGTGTACACGCACGCGTGAATGCGCATGTGCGCATGTGTGCATGTTTGTGTTAGCCAATAATAATAAAAGAAAAAGGCCACCAAATTGAGAGGGACTTGGAGAAAACGAAAGGAGTACTTGGAGAGAAGGGAGTAAGTTGTGAAAATGATGTAAATGTAGTAATCATGAATGTAATTCTTTAAAAAGTAAATAAATTAGAGATTGTGTAGTATGTGTCTGTATTGTCCCTGGACCAACTGAAAGCATGAATTTGAGACAAAGTAAGGAGGCTTGGGTAGATTTGTAGGGACGAAACAGAAGGAGGAAATGGTACAATTATAATCTAAAAATATCTTTTAAAAGCCCAAGGCTCAACTGTTACCCCATGTGGCCAGCTTTTGAAAGAATGAAATTCCCAAACTTTTCTAACTGCTCTAGGCACATTTAGTTTTCCTATGTGGGTGCTTTCTTTGTGGAATTTACACCACCTCCTTACATGTGTATCTTCTTGGCTCTGTTTGTGACATTCTATTACATAGAAATTTAACTATGTGGAAGGAATGTGATATATTCCTTATAGAAAATGGCTTCAGATTTTGTGTCCATGTCTGCATTCCATGACCACTAGTTCACTTTGATGATTCTGCACAAATTTATAGCATGCTAGCATTTTAGTTTTCTTGTTTATAAAGGAGGTGATCATTCCTATTCCAGAGGTTTGTGATTTTGCCAGGAGTTGACATAAATCACTGTAAATGATGGGATAGGAAGGATGTGACTTTACTATAGAACTCAGTTTTAATAATTGAAAATTTAAACAGGGAGTTGAATGATCAGGGCATAAGGAAATGTAGAAGGGAAACTGATATATAAAGAAGTAGCTACAGCCGGGCGGTGGTGGCACACGCCTTTAATCCCAGCACTCGGGAGGCAGAGGCAGGCGGATCTCTGTGAGTTCGAGGCCAGCCTGGTCTACAGCGCGAGATCCAGGAAAGGCGCAAAGCTACACAGAGAAACCCTGTCTCGAAAAACCAAAAAAAAAAAAAAAAAAAAAAAAAAGAAGTAGCTACATAGGATATGTAACATAGTTGTAGAGATCTACTTTCTCAGACTGAGAGGTGGGGAGACCCAACGTTTTCCTGAAAGTACAGTCTGGAATCCCAACAAGTTGACTTGCAGCCTGAAGTCACTACCCTTTCTAATTATGTCTTTCTTAGTGACAAGATAAAAAGAGAAGATAAAAAAAAGTATTACTAACGGAATAGTAAAAGGTAAAGGAAGGATACAGTGTGCTGTTGCTAAGGTCCACAGACAGCAGATGCCCAATTAGCACATACTATCCTTATTCTAATCAACATCATTATGACTTTGAACTTTGCTGCCTTGATCTCAGAGGAAGAGTTTTCATGAGTTCATTGAATGCTGTGTTCTGGAAATGCATGCCACGAAAAGATTTCAAGTAATATAAGCCAGGCAAATCTTTCATCCTGAGTCTGGTTATTTGATCATTTCTAACAGGCCAATGATGCATTATAAAAGTTATTGTATACTGACAACAAAATACATTATAACCCCATGCTTCAAAGTGTATTGCAACATTCTAGAATTTTTGTCTTTGAATTATTTATGTTTCTTTTGGAGTAGAGTTGAAAATTGGCAAGTCATTTTAATTTTAGTTTTCTTTCTTCTTTGAAGGTTTCACATATTTATACCACATATCTTGGTCATGTACACCTTCGCTCTCTCCAAATCTCCTCAGTGTCCTCCATCTCATCTCCCTCCTAACTTCATATATTCTTATTTGTTTTTATTTATTTGGACCCACTGAGTTCAGTTAATGCTGCTCACGTGCACATGATTGTTGAGTTTTTTTTTCCATTACAGCGTTGGGAACCCAATTACTCCCTTACTAGGACAGGTAGAGTCTTTGGAGAGCTTCTCTCACCCATCCTGGAACTTTGAACTGTCTTGATCCTGTGTAGGTAACTACTGCTGTGAGTTTTTGTGTGCAACAGCTATATTATGTCCACAGGGCAGCATTTCATAGCACGCCCCCCCCCCCATCCTTCAGAACCTATATTCTTTGACCCGCCTCTTCCAAGATATTTCCTGAGCCCTTGGTTGTAGTGGGCATTCCTGAAGCTGTTCCACCTGTGGCTAAGCACTCACAGTTGCTTATATTAAGGACTTTGAACAAGAATGGGTCTGTATTTTCACTACCCACTGTAATAAGAAGCTTCTTTAGGCATGGGCAAACAGACTCCTTGTGCAGTGGGATAAAGCTTGACATTGTTGAGAGATGGCAAAGTGCATTCAGTTATAATTCAGTTCCAACTTATCTGACCTTCATTGGTGTGTGGACCCAGAAGCCCTGGGAATTCTGGCTCCTGTGGGGAAGAGCCATCTATCAGCCGGGGAGTGGATTCTTCATCCTTGTCCTCGTCCTGAGTGTCCCCTAGCTGAGGGCCTGGGGTGAGGAGTTCTCTGTTCCCAGAAAGCCTCTCGGTCACCTTTTCACCCTGGAAACAAGCAGAATTTCACAGCAACCTCAATCACCCTCTGCGTCCATGGTACAAATTTAAAACGTGCCCATTTGTGCCACAAGATGTCACTCGTGTTCTTATGTTCAACACAGTGTGCCTTGCCCACCAGCTTGAGGCAGCAAGTCTCTCAGAAATACTGTTACTGTTTTCAATTAAGGTTGTTTCTCAAATCTTGGGAACTGGTTTGAATGGCATTTTTTTTCTATTTTCTTTTAGCTTCATTTATTTCTTCATTTGATAGGTTTAAAAGTATCTCACTGTTTTCTAATGATACATAGCTTTGTGAGAACACATTGTTGTTAAGAATGATTCACTTTAATCTAGAAGTGTGCAAAACTCCCTTTTACTCTTAAGCCCAGTTCACTCTCTTCCCTTGAATAGCTGTTGGAATACTGAGTAGTATTTTCTTCCTTAAGGTTTTTAATTTCTGAAATTAAAATCTTCTCCTCCTTGCAATTATTGGGCATTACTCTTAATGGTCTTTTAGTGAAAATTACCCTTCCTACTGAGGCAAAAATCTACAGTGGCATGAACAGTATGATTTAATTATGGGATATCATTTCTTACATATATTTCCACATGGATACAGCAACAATATCTGATAATGTTAAAATTGACATTTTTGAAAGATTTGGCAATGGGGGCATTTACAAATGGTAAAAAAAAATACATTTTCAAAATACTTTTTTTTTCAAATTTCACTATCTTTTCACCTTACATCTTTTTTGTTACAAGTTGTTGCTTCTAAAATATTTCGAGGCACCCTCATTTCCAGTACCTTCCATTTACACTAGTGTTTATTCCTTTCTGTTTCTTGGTAAGTGTGTTCTTCTTGATGACCTAGTAAGCTCCAGATGGGAATTTGCTTAAGACATTTAGAGCAGCAACATCCTGGTTCTGTTGTCTGTTATTATCTTGATGTCCCCAGAAATCTTACATTCTTGATTGATCACATCGCTACACACCCATCTGCCTTTATTTTTGCTCATTAAAAAGGCAAAATCCCACAAATTACTTCTAAGTTATTTATTACCAGAATGGTGTAACAACTACTTACATTTTTAAAACAGGAATATAATTAGGCTGGTTATTTATTGCTTGTTTTATACAATCATGTGAATTTTTTTAAAGATACACGTATTTTTCATACCACTTTTGATAGATCTGTATACATTTCATTACTAATTAAAGTGATATTTTTTAAAGGAACAATTTCATAGGCTCTCTATTTTAGCCTCTTTCTACATTAGATTTCTGCTCATTGATTAATTAATTTATTACCCAGGTCTATTAAGTAGTAAACACTGAATTAAGCCTTTATCTTTGTATTCTAGGATTCAGCATAATAAGCAACCCATAAGATTTATGGATATTATTCTTCAAAAAATTCTTGTCCAAGATGGTTTTAATTCATATCTGCAGATAACCTTAAGGATTTTCTGCAAAGAATCAGAGAATGTGGCAATGCCTGTTTTCAAGAATTTAAAACATGAAATCTAAAAGCAAATTGCTTGATCATGTAGGAGCCATCCAGAAAGATTCAGTAAAGCCTGGCCAGAAATCTCCAGCTGAGAAGCTGGGGTGCATCTACAGAGAGACACATGGTTTCCATCAGTGTGGTCATAGTGAGGCAGCTTCAGAAGAATAGCTTTCCAGAGACTAAAAGTAGGCTCCAGGAAGGGCAGAAATGGAGACAGATGTTTCACAGAATGGAGGAGCTGCCTAAAGGGCGGAAAACATTCCAGACGCAGAGCCTTGAATCTTTAACTTTGTAGGAAAATGTTTGCACAGCCCCTGCCCCACTTTTTTTTTTTTTTTTCAGATACTTGTTTTTCCACTGATTTGATGTGAAGCTATAAGGTCTCGTTTGTCATCCGATATAATGAGGCCAAACAGCTTTTGGTGTTCATCAGAAATTGTTTTGTTCATGCTTGCTTGAAAATAAAAAGAACAACCTTTAAACCAAGGAAAGGGAATGCATTTTCATTTCAGCAAAATTGCAGAGCTATAACCCCATTATACTGTGCCTGGAGAGTCTTCTGCCTGGTAGACACATTTATTCTGACTATTAAATAGAAGTTGTTTGGGCTCTCGTCTTTTCCCCTCTTTTAACAGTCTTCAAACTGCAATATGAAGTTTGAAGCAATTTCTTCTAAAAAAAAAAATGCAGTCAGGGAATTGTGAACACCTGTCTGTCAGAATGATAGACTTTATACTTATGCTTCGGAAACCTAATTGTGGGTACAAACACAACCCCCACCCCCAAATATCCTTCAGCTATCATTGGTATCACTCAAAGGAAAGCACAGTTGAGTCTCTTATGTAAATATTCACTGATTATTTCAGATTTTTTTCTCTGTTCTCTTCTTCCTCTATCTCTTGCTTTTACTCTGCTTTGCTTCCTGTGACTTGACTTTTTAATCTGGGTATTATAACTTTCTGAGCTTTATAAGCATTAAAAAAACCTAATCACTACACTTGAAGAAATTAACATTAACCTAGTGCCAGGTAGCAAAACAAACTTTAACTTTATGTTGTTGTTGTTTTGGTTTTTGTTTTGTTTTGTTTTGTTTTTAATTTTGGCACTGTAGTAACTTGTGCGTTCCTAGTACCTTGCTTACATAACCATGACCTGTAGTATTTGTCATGGTAGATGATGTTAAGGAGTATATTCCATTTCCACAAAAGAGTAGATACAAGAAATGACACTGATTGGAGACAGTAACATGGGTTTGGAGAACTCAGCAGATGATGGCAAGGAGAGGTCATTTCCAAGTAAGAATTGATCACTTCAGGGCTGGTCAGTGTTTGTATGCTGCAGAGCTGGGATTCCAGGTAGTCATCCCAGCACATAGTCCCCTCTCAGGGCACAGGACCTGACAAGATGTGATGAGAGTAAGACCAAGTGTCTGCTACTTGAAGAAAACATCTCAATAAAAATAAATGCAGTTATGTATTTTTATACCGAACAGTACTGAGATTTGTACTAAAATATTAATATTGATATGAATAATCCTGCAAAATATTTAATATTTGCATTTCTTATCATTGGCAGTATCATTCTTATACATAGAAGAATCTCCTTATGAAAGTATGTTGTGCTATTTTAAGTGAAAATAGTAATAATTTTGAAAAAATTTCTCAAAATTATTTTGACCAAATTCATGTTTTGTTTTTTGTTGTTTTTTTTTTTTTTGTGAAAAACCACATCTGACTGATTCGTGTCATTGTATTATTAGTAGTAAAACTACTTGATTTATTTGGCTTAATTTCAGAGGAGTAATAAGAAAACTGAGTGTGCTGAGAAATAGAAGCTATAGTTCTCCTAGGCTGTTTTCCATTTCAGAGCCCCTTCAACACAGAGATCTTCCTTTTTAAAAATAGTTGTTTTCATTTATGCAGTTTGTTATTCTCATACAAAGCAAAGGGTTTCTGTACAGCACTTTTACAGTCCTTAGTTGGGGTTGCTCTCTCACACCTGCTTCTCTCTCTCTCTCTCTCTCTCTCTCTCTCTCTCTCTCTCTCTCTCTCTCCTCTTCTTCTCTCCTCTCCTTTTCTCTAACCCCCGCTCAACCCTCATGACCCCCTTTCCATTTTCATACACTATTTGCTCTGTTACCCAGTCCACACCCCTTCCACACATCTTTTTTCCTCTCATGGGCTCCTTTATAGTACCTTGGACAATGTCCACATTTGTTTGTACATAAAAAAACACACTTATGAATTAGAAGTTCAGGGTAGCCACAAGACATCTGAAAGGAGTTTTTGAAAACATCCAGTGAAGATGGTGTACCAGCAACCAGAGGCCTTGAACCAATGACTCACTGCAACAAACATTTGCAAGTAAAGCTGATTGGACAAAAGGGTATACTGTGTAACACACTGCATCTCCCAGTGACACTAAGATGAATGAAGAGATGTTGGAGAGGCAAGAAAGACAGAGGATCTAAGAGGGGTTTTGTTTGTTTGGTTTGTTGGTGATTACATGGCATTCAAATGCTTCTATAAAAAAAAGGGAAAGCAGCATCAGGGTGAACAGGCTGCCTTCAGTATAGACTTCTTGAGAATCACAAATTACTTGCTCCTCTTGAATATTCTGTTTGAATTAATAAAAGCTAATATTCCTTATTTTGTTGATATTTAGTGTTCTTTTAGCATCAGCACTTAATATGCACCCAGGTGTTAAATGAGGATCTCCATAAAGTAATGTATTTGTGATTGAAAAAGAAGTAAATGTAAAGGGGACTCTAAGGTCTCCAGCTGTTGCTATTTGGAGATTCTGTCTTCCTTTCTTCAAACTATAATTCATGGATATTTTTATGTAGTATTTTGTGAAATAATCAATTACCAAGTTTGAGTCAGCTAACCATAATATCAGCTTTCTTACTTTTAACACTCAGCATTTGATGTACCACCCAAAATTATGCCTTTGTATTATGATTATACTTAGAACAAATGCTTGAAAATTTTTTAGAAACTCAACATTTTGCTTAAAATAGCATAGAATTGTCATATTTCATGGTAACATGTTAGGACTTTCCTTGGCCCTCCAGGATGCACCTAAGGCCTTGCGAAGAGGAAATCTTAAGGTTATGCAAGTATGTTTGTTAGTGTTTACCTTAGAATGTCAGAGAGAGCTTACATAAATAAGCTAATGATGCATGAGAGAGACTCAGAAAAACAAACTCAAATGCAGTGAACAGTATGAAGTAATGCACATTAGAGTAGACATTAATAAAATTGAGACTCAAATAACAGTGGCTAGAATCAATCAGAGATTTAGTGCTTTGAAAGATAAACAAGACTGACAACTCCCTAAATACACCAATCCAAAGAAAGACAGAAAAATATTCAATTAAAATTATTGACAACAAGGAAAATGTTACAATAGTCTCTAATGAAACCTGTGAGGTCACTAAGGGATAGCTTTAATGTTAATTTTCAAAAAACTGGAAAAGTCTTAAAGAAGTTGATAT